AGAACACTTCTGCAAGACTATAACAGGTTTTCTGGGTCACAAGCTAAAGAAGAGTTTAAAGCAGTCTAGACCAGGAAACCACTTTAGATACAGAAGATTTAGTGATACCAATGTCAAGCAATGGATTAACCTGTTTGACGGCTAAATAAGGTAAAACGCAACTAGTGGAATCAAGAAATGATATTGATAAAAAGTTCTTAGCAAACAATTCAGCTTTGTCTTTAGGTGAGGTGACATTGTCTGAATCATACAAGAGAGGTGGAATAACAGATTTGCCCTTATTATTGATACTGTTGAAGATTCTCCAGAAGTCACGAGAGACTAATTTTTGTGACGAAATACAAAATTTTATGACTTGAGAATAGCGAGGTTTGGCTTTAAACAAAACCTTTTTACAATGGTTTCTAGCAATAGTACACGTCTGTTTTATCTAGAGAATTTTTTTGGTGATAGATATGGAAATAACGGTTTCGATTGAAAATTGCAGCAATACAATGTGAGGAAAACCGTGGAGAAGAGGTAGGCTTGCCTTGGAATTGTTGAGAGGGAAAAAAAAATTCCATGCCAACCTGAATCCATGAAGTTGTGTAAGAAGCACATTTGTCAGCAGGAAGACAAAAGATTTCAACCCAAGCGCCATCACGAAGAAAATAACGGAAAGACGCTCAATCAGCGTTAAGGTAGTTGTAAGAAATACGATGATAGGAGGATTCTGATGATGAAGAAGAATGAGATAATAGTTTTAAAGAGATCAAACCGTGATCATAAACACCTAATGGTGAATGTTCAGAATCTGAGCAGTGACTAGGATCAGATGTAAATTTAACTGAAAGAAAAAAAATTAAAAATGGCTATAACTTTATTAGAAATAAAAGAAATGTTTATCCTGCAAAGAAAAAAATACAACTTATTTATAGAACAAGAAAAAGTATTCGTTGATTTACTAAGTGATAACTTAAAAATACTTAACGCACGCTTGGATAATATTGAAAGAAAATCATCGGATTGCAATAAAAAAGTTCACTTACTGGAAAACGATATAAAGGACTTAAAAGAAAGTTTAAAATTTCATGAACATTTAATAGACTAAAAGATGAAAGCTGCTAAAGAAATTGAAACCCCAAATATTATTAATATTTTAAACGAAAGATGCAGAATCTATGAAGACAGGTGAAGAAGAAATAACTTAAGGATAGTTGGACTTCCTGAAAATGAAACCTGGGATGATATTGAGAAAAAAGTTCAAAGTTTATTAAGCGTAAAATTAGGAGTTAAAGAAGTTGAAATTGAAAGGGCGCATCGAGTAGGTTTTAAAAAAGAAGGTTAATCTCGAACCATCATATTAAAATTATTGAGATTCAAAGACAAATCAAACATCCTAAAAGAAACAAAAAAGCTAAAAGGTATAAACATCTACGTATATGAAGATTTCTTGCAAGAGTCGGCAAACCTTCGTAAGAAGTTATTGACAGAAGCGAAAGAAAGAAAATCAAAAGGAGAAAACGTTATTGTCAGGAATGACAAGCTTATTATTTAAAAAAATGTTTACAATAAGTCGAAATGATACTGCTAGAAAACAATTTTAATCTTAACTTAGAAATCATTCTTAATCTCAATTTTACATATTTTAATAAAAAAAAATGGCTAAAAAATTAAATACTACGACTTTTTTTGAAACTGGTATTGTGATTTAACCTTCTCCAGCTAATTGCCATAAAGATGTTATTTTACCAGAAGTCTGCAACAACTAGTTGAGCTCTCGAAGGAGCGTCATACCCGCTCTACGGACTGAGAGTAAGGTGAGTTTGGGAAGAACGAAGATATGTTAGAGTGAAAGATAGAAGTAATCGAGTTAGAAGATAGCATAGAGTAAGCGGACAGGATTGCACACGATGTTAGTGCAATACATACTGTTAGTTAGGTCACCTAACTAATGTACGCCGACAAAGTTGTGATTGGAGTTCACTTAACATGAGCTCTTCCTCAACTTTCGTCGTCCCAACTTTTTTTTGAAAGTTTTAATAAACAAAACACATTTCTTCTGAATAATGATATTGATCCAGATTTAAACTTTTTTGAGGACGTCATAATCAACTCAAACTATTTTGATAAGGAAGTTTCTAACCTCACAATCGTTATTCTCACAATCGTGATTCTCAACACTAACTTTAAACATACGTAGTATGAGTAAAAACTTTGAAAACTTTAAATCAATGCTAAAAAAATATAAGTTATGAGTTTATGGTAATATGCTTAATTGAAACATGGTACAAAAATGAAAAAAATAATTTTCAAATTCCAGGATATAAAGCAACCCACCAAACTTGAGGTGTTGGCATTGGCGGCGGTATATGTATTTTTGTTCACGAGTCAATCCATTTTCAGAAAATAGAAATTCTCAGCTTTCAAACTGCGGATTATGAATCGTTAACTATTGAATTATTAAACCACAATAAAAAAAAACGTTTTAATAACACCTTTGTATAGACCACCTATCTTAAAAATTGCAAACAATGTGTTTCTTATGACAAAACCTACACTAAATTAGAAAACATCACGTACGGAGTTCCACAGGGATCTATTCTAGGCCCTTTATCGTTTATTATTTATATCAACGATATTTACTCATCATCTAGTATACTAAACTTCAATCTTTTTGCTGACGACACTCAAGTTTTTTATACTCACTCTAACAATAAGACAATCTTTACCACTATGAATCATGAACTTGATAACCTTAATGAATGGTTTAAAGCCAACAAACTCTCTCTGAACCCTACCAAAAGCAAATATACTCTCTTTTCTAAATCTTCTAAATCACGCTCTAAAACACGTTGCCCTTAAAACTCCCGGATATTTCAATAGAAAAAACCAAATTGCTATATTCTGTGTTAAATTCGTAAGTGTTTTAATCGATGAGCAAATAAGTTAGAAAGAGCATATTAATCTTGTAGAAAATAAAATTTCAAAAAGTATTGGTATTAAAAGTATTGGTATTATATATAAAACTACATATATGTTGGATAAAAACTGTTTAAAATCCATTTACTTTTCATTTATTCATAGCTATATTAGTTATTGCAACATTGCATGGGCAAGCACTTATCCGTCAAGACTAACGTGTATCTTAAAAAAACAAAAACAAGCAAGCCGCCTTATATTAAATGTTAATAAATATACTAGTGCCAATCCATTGCTTAGAAAGCTTGGAGTGCTGAATGTTTACCAATTAAATATTTATAATATTCTTTTATTCATAATTAGATTAAAATATCAAATGCTGCCAAATATTTTTGAAGACCTTTTCTTTATTATAGATCATAAATATCAAACAAAGCATTCCTTGCTAAATTATCAGGTACCAAAAACTTTGCTAAAACAATCATAAGGGCCATATTTGAGGAACTTATTCCTCCAAAATAATAATAAAACAACAACTTCAATTCAAACTTTTAAAAATATCTTAAATAAACAGTTACTTGGTTATGAAGTATCTTAAATGCTATTTTATTTTTTGTTTTTATTTTATTCTCTTTTATATTTTTGAACTTTTCATTTTGTTAAAAAACAACATCACCCTTTACATCATTACTTATCTTAAATTTTTTTTTTTTCTTAAGTTCAATTGTATTCTGTAAAAAAAAAAAATGTAACACTTTTTATTTAAAAGTGTATAATATTACTTTACTGAGATTGTAATATTTTTTTTTTATATCATTGATTATTTTTAGTTTAACATGTAAATGATACAACGGGGCTGGATGATAAGACTTTTGTCTTCTGCCTGTTCCCCTCACAACTTAACTCAAAAAAATATTGTAAATAATTTATTATGAAGATGACGAAATATATATTTAACATTTAACAAATTGATAAAAGAATAAATTTTGAGAAGTTAATTTTTTTTTAATTTTCTATTTAGGTGCTCTAAGAAGATCTAACGGTCTTGTCAAGAGCACCGCGGAAGTGCAATTAAATAGGAAGTTCACGCTTTCATCCTTACCGTAACGCGAAAACATGTCTAGAGTTTGTTTCGAACCTGGATCTCGTGCTTCTAAATAGGTCCTCTAATTGGTTTACAATCTTCTTTTAACAGTTCAGTTAACCAACGCTAAACCCAGAAGGCCGTTTTCTGCCGCTAGAGTAATTTTAAATAAGCCGCGGCACAAAATGGACAATAAAATTTCTAGTGTCTCTTGTTTTTTAAGAGGGTACTTTTATGGAATAAGAGGTAAAATTTTACAAAACAAATAAATAAACTTTCCTGATTATTAATTACTTTGCGATTTGTAAATAAATTTACTTAGTATTAATATTTTTTTTTAAATACTGGTTTTAATACCGATATTATATTTTTATAAATACCGGTATTGATTTTCCGTCCAGTATTGGATGCACTAGTTTTTAATAACGTTGTATTGTGCATAGAACAAATTATCAAAATTAAAAATTTCATTTAGAATAGATTGATCTTAGCAATACCGATGTTAAAAATAATAAAGATTGAAAATTATTATAAACAAACTTTCGGAGAAACTATAGAGTTCTTCTTTAAATAATATATCTTTGCCAGAAGAAAGTAGAGTTGTCTTTCATATTGCAGGTTATATTGCAAAAAAAAAAAAAAAGGTATATATTGTCAGAAAAATATTTAAAAACTGTATGAAGTACTCTGACTTGTTTAGCTTAGCCTTAACAATTCTAAAAAGGTCATGAGTCTATTAATGAGTCTATTAATTTATCAAACATTTGACTATGTGCTTTGACCTATGATATGATATGTGAATTTGAATCTTTTAAAAGATCAAAAAACGAGGTAATTTGTTAAATTTTGAAACCATTTTTAATTACCACATTTGTTTTACAAGGGATTGGTCTTATAAGCCCCATTTTTTTCAAATTTCTTTTCTGAGGCTTAAGCCAAACTTTGCATGAAATAAAGAAAAAAAAAGGACCAGAATAACCCCAAAAATTTAAAAAGGAAGGAAAAATAACACATATTGCTAAAATTTCAGCTATTTTTATTATAAAAGTTAAAAAACTTATTTTCTCTATTAAATTACAATCATCCCTAAATATATAACTCATTATGATTTTGAATTTTAAATGAAGTAGAACAATCGCAAGGTTTACTGCAAGTTACTTTTAGCGGATTTAATAAAAAAACTTAACACAACATTTCAAACGTTTTGGTACCGTCTCCAATTGTCTTGAGGTCCTTTAAAATCTCTTAGTTCGTATTCATTCATCCAGTCAATTTTGATAGGCTTTATTATACCGCATATTGATATGTTGAAGAAATCTGCTGCATTTTGCAATACGCTGTAGCTAAATTTAAAAAGCAATTGTTATTTTTCATCTTTACGCAAAAACAAAAAACAATATATATATATATATATATATATATATATATAATATATATATATACATATATATATACATATATATACATATATATATATATATATATATATATATATATATATATATATATATATATATATACATATATATATATATATATATATATATATATATATATATATATATATATATATATATACATATATATATATATATACATATATATATATATATATATACATATATATATATATATACATATATATATATATATATATATATATATATATATATATATATATATATATATATATATATATATATATATATATATATATATATATATATATATATATATATATATATATATACATATATATATATATATATATATATATATATATATATATATATATATATATATATATATATATATATATATATATATATATATATATGTATATATATGTATATATATATGTATATATATATATATATATATATATATATAAAATACATTTCAAACGCTTATATTAGTTTTATTATTAGTTCTAGCTTATCTGATCATTCACTTACAACTAAGTTAAACATTCAAACAGATAGGATGGAGATTTTTAAATAAGTCGTTAAAAGAATTTATTTTAGATAAAAAAGTAATAAATGTTGTAAAGTAAAAAGTAATGACAGGGGTACGCTCTTCCGGGGGTATGACTGGGGTATGATTAGGATATTTTCCCCCAAATTTCTAATACTTCATTAATTTTTAAAAAAATGTTTTGCAATTATAACTTTATTTGTTGTAAATATTTTGAATTTCTTTGTATTTATATTTTAATATACTTAAATTTGATTGTGATTGTAATCAGTATTATTCAGGTCTAAATTCAACCAATTAAGAGACTGTAATTATTTCTTGGTCTGAATAAAAAAATTTTACTTTTTTATTAACTGATACAATGTTTTCAGCTAAAACGCTAAAAGAATTCCAGATATTCATAGAAATAAAATTATTGCATAAAATACCTGAATGGAGTATTTATAAAATACCTGAATGAATTATTGCATAAAATACCTGAATGGAGTATTTATAAAATACCTGAATGGAGTATTTATAGAGCCAGTATTTGGGTCATGAAAGTGACTATATCTTGCTACATTCATACGTTCATTAGTAGTCATCCCTAACCATAGTACCTAAATTAATAAAAATATATCTAATATCCTCTAAAATCATCATGATGAAAATAAAATAATAGTATTAAAATATTATATATTTAAAGATATATAATATAGATATAAAAAAGAATAAAAATATATATAAAATTTTTATTATTTTATAAAAATAAATTTTTAATACTTGATAAAGATTGCATGATAGCAGAGACAACACCCAACAACTATGAAACGCAGCCATTATAAAACCCCATGTTACCCAAGGAGCACACATAGCAGCTCTTAACGAATCTATCAAAATACCTTCTCCAAAATTTCCACAATAGTTATTGTAATCTAAATAAAATATTTTTCGTATAGTTTTGGTCATTGTAATTACTTTTTTTTTCAAAAATATTATATGCAATAAACATAAAATGCTTACATTTTGTTGTAGCCCAAATATACCAAATGTTCATGAAAAATAGAAAAAAAAGAAACCCTACAAAGTATGCATGGTTTTTCAATCCTAATTTAGAAAAAAAAAATTGACAAAATTAAATATTTTGTAAGTTTAATATTAATACAAAAAAACAGCAAAAAAACAAAAACAAACTACATCATTTAAAGATGCAATTGAGAATATGAAAGTCATAATTAAAAGATGTAAGATGTAACTGTAGTTAAGAAAGGTTTATAATAGAGATACTTAGAACAAAGTTCTTTGTATTTCTGATTTTATAATTTACTTTGTAACTTTAGCTGCCTCTGACTAAGCTGCGCAAACCGGGTTGGTTTTCAATATCGGTTAATTATCAATACCGGTTGGTTATCAATAAAATAAAAAATTAATGAAAAAAATATTTTACAATGAGGCAGTTACTAGTAAAATCCCATCAGGTGTTTATAATTATTCAGAACAATAATAAATAAAATATAATCTATTTACAAAAAAAATAAAAAATTTAAATTAAATATAAACAATGTCATTAAAAATCACTACAATGTTTAGCTAAACACCAACTTAGACATCTTTCGTATTTAAAATTAATGCGCAATGTGTGGTCATATGTTGTGCAGCACATGCACAATCATCTTCTATTATTGTGTTGTTTGCCACAGTAATAATTATTTCTTAATATAGCATTCATTGTTCCACAACCTTAAGCACCTTAAGCAACCTTAAGCACCTTAAGCAACCTTAAGCAACTTTAAGCACCTTAAGCAACCTTAAGCAACCTTAAGCAATCTTAAGCACCTTAAGCACCTAATGAGTGGATTATATAACTTTAATCTGCTTCAAATGATCTTCGAGTTTCTATCATGATGACATTTTTTGTTGGTATAGCTGCAATCATGTGTATGTTTGAAAATTTTGAAGAAGGTATTTTCATTATTGCTCTTCTTACTTGTCTAGCATATTTATGTTTTTAACAAAAAAGGTTAAAATTTGTTTCATTCAACCACATTTTTTCATCTGACAACCATTTATGATATGTTCATTAATGTTCCAAAGATAACCAGCTCTTATTTGTTTGTTTTCATTACTGTTTATTGAAGAAGGCTTCTTGGGTCTTTTCTTTAAAGAAAAAAAATCTGCCTTTGAAGTATATGGTGATTGTTGTCGTGCTTACGCTTATGTTAAACTACCTTAATATATAGATCATCCAGGTCATATTTTAAAAACCTGAAAATTTGTTTGGGTAAAATATGGTTAAAATATTAGGTAAAACTAGGGCTGTGAAGTCGGAGTTGTGACATTTTTATTGCACATGCATGTACAAAACCTTATGTTAAATAAACCTCAAAGAACGTTTCATAAATTTGTCGTAAAATTTTTTTTTAACTTATAACGCGTAATATTTTTCAAAAAATTCAAAGAATTTTTCAAAAAATTTGCTTTGGAGTTGAAGTCAGGGTTGGAGTCAGAGTTGTACTCAAAAAATTTTAACAACTGGAGTCAGAGTCGTTACATTTTTTTTTACAACTCCACACCCCTGGGTAAAACGTTTTGAATATCCGGAAAAACTAAAAGTTGAGAAAAATATCCGGAATTCCGGAAATATCTGAAAAAAGATAATTCCTGTTAATTTTTTTTTTTGATGGCAATAACAACTAGTTTCTTTGATTTGATCTTCAATCAATATTTTTGGTATAAAATTATTTCAATGAAATTTGAACTTAGGCTATGAATTCTAAATTATATGTTGTTTCTCAATTACATATTATAAATTCTAAAATAAATGTTGTTTAAAATTGTAACAATTAAATGTTGTTCTAAATTAAATGTTCTCAATTACATATTATGATTTCTTAACTACAACTTTCATATTCTCAATTACGTTTTAAAAAAGTGTATTAGTCATCACAACTGTAAAACCCCCCTCCCCAGCCAAAAGGAATTTGTATTAGATCATCATATGTAATATACATAAAAAAAATTGATGAAAAAAAAATGAAACGCACCAACACAATTATTAATCCATGGACAATGATGGTCCATCCGGGCAACACATCGATCACATAGAGGACAGTGCTTTGATCTAATTGGACGACGAACCTAGAAAATAAAACTTGAATTCTTTTATCCAAAAATAAAATTTGTATTAATCAAACAAAACTAAAGAGCAGCTAATAAAAAAACAAACAATAAGAATACAAATACTAATTGCTAAGATGTGTTTTGTCAAAATAAAATGCAAAGCAAAGAATGGATGCTATCTAAATAGAGTTCTTTAAGCTTTGAAATAAAAAAGTTGTCTAGGTAAAGTCTTGTTTTCTAAAACCTTGAACTCAAAGTCTTGTTTTCTAAAACCTTGAACTCAAAGTCTTGTTTTCTAAAACCTTGAACTAAAAACATAAAATATTTAATTGTAAAAATATTTTATTTACATAAAATATTTTTTAGAATGACATCATTTTTGTACTGAAACTCTTTAGAATTAAATGCGCTTGAAATATTATAAAGTTTGTTTTATTTTTTAATTTTTAATTTTTTTTTTAGTCAGAACTTTAAATCTTTAAAATATTTGTTTTTTTTGCATCAAAAAAAAAAATTTAAAGATATAAAATTCTGACTAAAAAAATGGAGAATGCAAATGGAGAATGCAAGCTTTGACTAAAACCACAAAGTTTTTCTTGGTATAAATTTTATTTTTATCATGAATTCAGCCCAAACATTTTTTTTTACTTTGTCTAGGGGATGATACAGCTAACACAGTTCTAACACAGTAAATCTTTACAGTGAGAGTTGTAATGGTAGAAAGCAATTTCTAATATTTCTATTTCATATATGCAGCATTAAAGTAAAAACATATTTTTGGATGAAGCTCAGGTTTCTGAGTCAGTACTGGCTTTTAAAAAAGGGCTAGGCTAGTGGCACTTTCAGGTGTGATTTTTTTATTTTATTTTTTATTTTAACATCTTCACTCCTAGAAGGCTGCAAGCAACTATTAGAGTTAAAAGTTACTAGAAGAGAAAAGATGAAATTTATAAAGCAAGATAATGATTAACAGATGACTTAAAAGATTGCAAATTATATGAATTGGAAAAACAAGATGAAGGGAGTAAATTCCAAAAAACTGATATTCGAGGAAAAAAACTAGATAAATAAGACTTTTTGGAGCACTTAGAAACAGCCACAGTAATGTGATGTGACTTAACTGAATGACAAGTAACATGAGAATAAACTTCAGTAGATGGCACAAGATATGCTAGCTCTTGTTGAGCAGCGCTCATTTTAGCATTTATAGAAAAGAGAAAGAGAAGCAACATTACGATGATGTGATATTAGTTGAAAGTTGGCTGCAAGAGCAGGTCCAACTACATTTACAATGCATTTTTGTCTGAAAGAGAAAGAACATAATATGAAGATCTGCTCCAGATATGACAACAGTATTCCATACAAGGATAGATTAGAGATTTATAGAGAAAAGAATTAAATCCGGAGTAAGAAAGTGGTGAGCACGATAAAGAGATGCAACCTTAGCAGATGTGGTTTCCAAGAAAGATCGAAAGTAAGAGTTAATCATAACATAAAGTAGTCACTGCTCATCACCTGTAACAACTTTGTCAAGCCAACGTATAGTAAACTTTAAGAATGGCAAAAAGATACAATATTTGGCAAATTCCATTTTTAACTTACATAACACTTTTTAACAACTTTATCAAATATTTGCTTAACTGCAAATTAAACTTATAGCTATTTTGTATGAAAGCTGTTAGTCTAAAAAATAAAATAAGCTAAAAAGTTTTAATTCTGGCCAAAAGAGAGTGACCTTTTTACTGAAAATGTCACTTAACTTACGTTACACAGAAAACTAGGTAAAAAATTTGCTTCAACTTTTAGGTCAGATTTCTGCGAATCAGTAAAGTGGTTTGTATTCGAAACTTTCACAAGATGTTAAGAATTCTATGCCAATTTAAAAAATATATACAATTTTATCAGAGGTGACAGGGTAAGGAAAATAAACTCATTTTTTTGATACTATATATCTAACTTTTGTTACATCACTTACGTTACCTTGTGATTATTATAGTGGATTTTTACTTCTATTATTTCGAGTTAGAGTTACATAACAAAACAATTGCAAAAGTATTGAACTCATTCATTAAAAATAATTAAAAAAGGAAATTTTAAAAAACTGATGGCACTCTTTCTAAGTGATTTTTCATAACATTTATAAAAGTTATCAAAGACTAAGTGGAACTTTAAAAAATTATTTTAGTATTACAACTTTTTAATACTTATTTGAGTCATTTAAATAAGAAAATCTTTGGTTTGTTGAAGTTTTTACTTACACTCCTTATGTTTATGCATATTGCCTTATTTTCATTTGGTTGAATTTTTAAAATGCTGCAAAATATTTACATTTAAATCTTTTGAAATATTTTTGACGAAAAACTGCTATAACAGTATAGGAGGGTGAGGGGTTCAGGTATATGTGATCGTTTGTGACGGGAGGGAAGGGGTAAAAAATTGACAAATATAGGGTGATGTGCTTTATGGATGACCCATAATTGCATTTACAAACTATTTGTTTTACTAAAACAAAAGCAAAAAAAATTCTAACTGATTTTTTTTTATATTAGGAGAAAAGGAAATAAACCTTTTTTTTTTTAATGTCTAAATACAAATATTTATATAATTCTTGTTTTTATTTATTTACGTGTATTTATGTCAAATAAAATGAGAATACATAAACAAATAAAAAAAGCAATAATATAAATAATTTTAATTAACATTAAAAAAATAAAAGACTTTTTTCTAAATTCTCCTTATATAAAAAGTTTCAGTTAGAACCTTGTCAACGAAATAATTACTTAATGACAAAATAATTACTTAATGACGTATTCATTTTGCTAACGAAAAAATGCCAGAACTTCAGTAAAAGCTTGTAGTTTTAACTTACGTTACACAAATTTAAAATAAAAATGCGCTCTAACTAAGCATCGTTATTCCAAACTTTAAAAGCAAAAACCTAACATTTAATATTCTTTCTCATATATTATTAAAAAACTTCAGTTTTTTAACTAAATTTTAGAAAAAACAAAACTTTATTATGTTTTTGTTAACTTAGGGGACAAGAAAATTGCAAAAATTCTTTTGTTACCTAAGAGTACTCACCACGCATATATGCCATGGGGTACTTCTAGTTAGCTCTTTTAATTGGCTAAGACCCACCTTTAGAAAATAACTGGACCTGAGTTCATCTTTTAATGCAGTTATTATTACCAAAAGGTTTTAAACTTTTTGATGTAACACAAAAGAACAGGGTCATTACACCATTATATATTTATATACTATTTATCATTGCATCATTATGCATATTTCAAAAAAGCTTATCTAGCGAAATGATCTATTTCACATAGCAGACAATACCTAATATGCTGTTTGGATTTTCTTATTTTTTTGAATATTTGAAACCATTAAATAAAATTTGAAATATATTAACCTATAGTACTCGCCACATGCATACAAACATAATATTTAAATATAGGAATAGTACACATGCATACAAACATAATATTTAAATATAGGAATAATTAGATAGGAAAAATTTTAAAAAAGCCTATAACTATATTTACAATAATATTAATGCTAGCAATAAATATTTTCTCTAATCAACTACATCATAAACAATATTAAAATGGTTTTACATTAAGAACATATGAAAAGAACAAGTAGATAAGAACAAGTAAATAATTTCATGATTTATGACATCGTTATATAATAAAGATATTATATTTGTAGATACACATTTAATTATTGATGGTTAGAACTACTTTAATAAAGATGTTATACTTGTACATACACATTTAATTATCGAGATGGAATTTAATTAACAATGGATACTTTATCACACATAGTAAAACTTTAAAATCAAACTTCTCTTCACTTACAAGACAAGTAGTGCAAAACTTAGAGAAATCATTCAACATATTTGATTCAGCTAGTTCAACAATCTCCTAAATAAATAACTATATATATGTACAAATATAATACACACACTTACAATAATATTTTTTACATTTATAGTATTAATAATTGTTATTATTTATGAAATAAATATTTATTATAACAATAACAACAACAAATAATTTAAGATGTTTATAAAATCTTCACAAATAAGAGCACAAAAAGTGAACAAGTAAATCTATTATAGGCAATTTAACTTAAGTCAAATTTGTTTGCTCACGAAATCCTGATATAAGTCAGGGTTGGCAAAAACCCGGCCCAGTGGGTTTTTTTGGGGTTTTTTTATTTTTTTTATTTTGTTAAAAAAATTTTTTTTTTTGTTTAATAATATTGACTAATATCATTTTTAACTTTATTCTATAACTTGATTTATTCTTATACTATTTTTACTATTTATACATTCTTATACTATTGAAATATTCTATAACTAATATCGTTTTTAACTTTAAGTTTATTTAAAATATATTTTATAAGTTTTTAAAATTTATAACAACACCTATCAATAAGTGTTTTTAATTACAGTGTAAAAAATAATTTAAAAGTGCAACAAAATAAAAAAAAATTATGATAAACCTATATGTATTGATTTATTTTAGACTTAATAATAATATTTTTTATAATTAAAAATGTCAATGGGAAGTGAGAGAAAGAAAGCTGGAGAATGGGATGAAGTGACTGAAGTTGAAAACAGTACAAAGGTTTCTTGTGATTATTGTCATGCTTTGATTAGCAACAAGATAGAATGAGTAAAGCCCCATTTAAAACATTGCCAAAAAAAGTTTAAGTTTTTACACAAGCATACAGAAGGGGACAATCTCAATTTTTCAAAATATTTAAATAAAAATTGTGATGATGTACCAAATAATGATTTATATATTAAAGCATCTGCTCTAATAGCTGGACCATCATCTCAAGTTGGAAAAAGTTCTTTGGTATCTGTAAGTTCTATAAGTTCATTAACACCTTGTAAGAAGCAGCGGTTGATGTCATCGTACACAATATCAACTAATATGGAACAGAAAGAAAATATTGATATAAAAATAGCAAAACTTTTCTTCAGTGCAAATGTATCATTTAAAACTTCTGAAAATCAAGAATTTATAGACATGATCAATTCATTGAGACCAGGATATAAACCACCTAACCGTAAAATGCTTGGAGGAGAGCTCTTAGAAAAAGTTTATGAGGAAATAAACAAAAAAATGATGGATCAACTTAACCAAGAAGAGAAAACAATAACAATTATGGAAGACGGATGGAGTAGTGTTACTAATGATCCCATTATTGGTCACAGTGCATATGATAGACTTAATTCTAAAATTTTATGCATTACTGATTGTGCATCAAATAAAAAAACAGCCAAGTATTTTACCGAACTCTTTTATAATGTCATTAAAGATCTTAAAGAAACATACAATAAAGAAGTATTTGCTGTGGTAACAGATAATGAAAATAAGATGAAAAAAATGAGAGATTCAAAGAAATGTATCCAAATCTTTTAACATATGGGTGTTCTGCACATTATTTTAACCTTTTAGAAAAAGAAGTAACACAGCCAGATGTCATCAAACATGTGGTTTAAGTGCAGAAATATTTTCGTAATACACATCAACCGCATGTAAACATTATTTTGTTTTTGTGATTAAAGTATAAAAAATATATAAAAGTTTAAAATTAACTATTCAATTTTTATTTTAAGGGATGGTTGCGTGAGAAAGGAGGGTATATGCCTCAGTTACCAAACGATACCTGATGGAACTCCCAAATTGACTGTATAGAAACATACATAAAAAACTACCAAATTTATGTAGAAATAGTAGATAATCATGATATACCTACCAAAATCAGAAAAATTATTGAAAACCAAGCAATATTTAGAGAAGCTAACAGTCTTCAAACCCAACCCAAAATATTTGGTATTGTTTTAGATCAAGTATTTAATTTTTTTATATTAAAGTTTTTTTACATTATAAGATTTTGCAGGTGTAAAGGAAAAGTAATAAAAATAAATATATTATGTTGATTAAATAAATTGGAAATTAAATTTTTTCTAGATGCAAAGTGACAGCTGTCTCCTATCTAATGTGTTGAGTTGTGGCTCTCACTTTTGAACAACCCTGAACTAAGTCATTACCACACAGCTATCAAAAAGAGATGTAATGATGCTATGACACCTATCCATTATCTTGCGACCAATCCTCGCTTTTTGGGTAAAAATAAGTTTTGCTTAAAAAAAAAATTGTTTTCACACTAATCTGCTAATCTGAATTTTTTTTTTATAGGCAAAAACCTGGCGATTGAAAATGAAGATGAGGCTGAAGAATGGCTTTACAGTCATTATCCTGATTTTGTACCTGACTTGATTTTGCTTGAATTAAAGGATTGTGATGCATTTCCTAAAAGGAAGTCGAGTGATCAAATTATATCAACAATATTGTGCAGCTATTGGTGGTCTATAATTAACCAGAGAAATGAAAAATCAATTCAAAAAAAAGGGATTTTGCAAATTTATTTCTAAACTTCAAACATGCCCTGCTAGCTCAGGATCAATAGAAAGAATATTTTCTTCATTTGGTTTTATTTGGTCAAAAGTTAGAATTAAATTAGGATATGAAAAGGCTTAAAAGCTTGTGCAAATATATAGACAGTATCAAAAATAGTTTAAAGTTTATGTTTTTACATTAGAGTTTATGTTTTTACAATATAAAGTAAATATTACATTAAATTAAAGTTGTATTTGCAAGAAGTATACCAAAAATGTAATTAGTCTTGTCAATGTGTATTTATTCTAAAAAATCTTATTGAATGAATCTAACTTGTTTCGTTTCCAAAATAAAATTGTGTTAAATAAAAATAATGTTGTGTTTAAATTGAAAATTTCCCTTTATAGCTAGCTCTATAATATGTTTATGTTTTCACAAATGTTAGTTAATAATAATATATATTAATAATATAATAGTTCATAAGTTTTTAGATATATTTCAAAAAAACCCAGATTGCCTGGGTTTTATTGGGTTTTTTTAGGCAGGTTTTATTGGGTTTAATTGGGCGGGTTTTTCAAAGCCAACCCTGATCTAAATACACAGTACTTAGATCAGTAAGTGTATATATATACACTCGGGTGTACCAGAAACATACTTTTTTTTTTCTACAGGATACCTCTAAAGTCTCCTGAAACTAAAAATAAACGGAAAAAAACAAACAAAAAAACAATTGTTAAAAAGTGATATTGTAAAATTTGAAAAAACTCTTCTTTTTTTTTTGAAAAAAATATCCTTTACGCCAATATTTAATTGATTTCTAAGAAAACTTTTTCCTATTTTATATATTTGAACATTTTAATAAACCTATTAATAACTCCTAAATTGTATAATACTATTATTAGTGCGATATATGCTTATTTTTTAAGCAAATGAAATTTATGACAGGCTTGGGTATGAAAAAATTCAATAAATGCTTAAGCTTAAAAAATTGTATGTGTTTTTTGTGAGTCTTGCAAACAAGAAAAAATTTTTTTTTTTCTGTTTTTACAACATACAGATTTTTTTTTTCAGTGCAATACCTTAACTAAATAGTTTTCTTGCACAAAATAAGTAAAATAAATAAGTTGCTTCAAGAAATCTGGTATTAATAGATTTGGTCTCAAAAATATGTGTTATTTAGAGTAAAACTAAACACAATATACATATCATATTTTTTAACAAAATCTGAACTTATGCTAATAAAAATAACATATAACATGCCTATCGGCTTTAATCAATTAAAAAAAAAGTTGTCTGTGGTCTAATAAAAAAAACAATTTAATAATGTGTTGTTTTTACATATTTGTGAGATATGTACTACATACATATTTTTCATTATACATGCATTCTACATATAGCTAAAAAATACAATAAGATTTAGTAAATAATACAATTATTCAATGAATGATTGAATGAATAAATGAATTAATGTTTGTTAAATAATTTAATAATTTATAGTATTTTCTAACATGGGTTATCTTCAAAAAGAAAGACACAAATATAGAGGAAAAAAGGAAGATACAGATTAATCCCAGAAGGCTCTTTTTTTTTCTCAAGTATCTTTAACCAGCTGCCCATGAACCAGCTCTCCAACATTGAAAATATGCTCAGATATACACAAATTATAAAATCACTCAAATCTTTAAAGTTTAAATCTACAAAGTTTTTGTTGTAGTTAAGGCACTAACTGAAAAGTCTGACTAATGTGATTTCTCAAAGAAACATGTATCTACCCTCAGATAACACGATATTGTGCTTGACTCATTTTTGTCTTATAATGTCATAAGGTGTTCAAACGGAGAAGCACATCTGAATTGACCCATTCAGATGTGCTTCTCCTTTTGTAATAAATGTTTTAGCAATAAGAACTTCTTATTGTTAAAACTGCTGTTAATTAAAAAATAATACAATTTTTAATAGTAATATAACAAATAATATATAATAGTAATATATTAAATTAATGAAAAAATTTTAATAGTGTTAAGACAAAAAAAAAAACAATCAAATACCAACATAAATAACAATCAATATCTAGGTATCTAGTATCTAGGTAATATAATATCTAGGTAATTAGTAATCTAGTATCTAGGTAACATAATATCTAGGTAATTAGTAATCTAGTATCTAGGTAACATAATATCTAGGTAATTAGTAAGTATGAGTAGGCCATCAGGTTTGATTGGAATGAGTTACAGGTTTGATCATCCTTGAACAACATTGTCATGTAGGCAATGGACAACCACAAAGACATTTAACAGGGTGGACTATAAAACGCTCTGTGAACTAGATGTCTTCTATTTAAGAAATAAACCTAGATTTCATTTTCATCAACCTGGAGTATATTATGAAGCCATATACAGTTAAATATTATCATAAATATTTGATTTAAGGGAAAAATACATTTATACTTCTCTTATATACTTAATAAGTATTCCCTTTTTTCACTGCTGATGCTCTATACCTGCTGACTGATATAAGGATAACTGAGATGGTAGCCAAAGTATAAAGGAAAAGAAGATGGTAAAGATGGCATTCTTTATTTCTGTATGCTATGGGTCCTGGTTTTTAAATCTCTATTTGATGTACAAGTCAACTTTAAAGGACTTGCTGGTACTAACCAACAATGTGAAGTTGGTCAATTGTGATGTTCCTTATCAGTTTTATATCTGTAAACCAAAGTTAACAGTTATTAGCAGGTCGACAATGCCAACTGAACTTGTAGATTCTGAGACAGGATCTTGTTTAAGGTAGCTAAGACTTCTTTTGAAGAGCTGGAAAAGTGGATCAAGGGCAATATCCGTCAAATATTTGATATATTTGAAAGGTTTATGAAGCTGATTGATACTTTCAATAACTGTGCTGAAAAGAATATCTGACTGATCAAGGACTTTGCTAGACGCTACAGATCAGACAACGTGAAGCAGAACCTCATGTGGGTCACCATAAAGAATTTTTAAAAGGACTTTAAAAAAAAAGCAGCAGCAAAAATGTTTAATTTTTTAAACTGGAAGTATATATTAGTAAAAGAATTCCTAATAAACATAATTTTTTGCCTTAAAATGCATTGAAAAAAATTTTTTTTTAAAGGTTTAAAGGTCATTTTATACATATAAAAAACATGTCATTGGTATTTTAAGTCTATTTGGATCTAGGGAAAAACTTAAGAGGTTTTTTCTTTTTCAAATATACCAGGCTTGGTCAGGAAGCGGGAGCGATCGCTCTCGAATACTGACCACGGAAATTATATTTAGTTGCGTAAAACTGGCCAGGTTTTTTAGTCGTTTTGAGAACATTTAAGTTTATGTACGAAACAAAGAACTTTTGTTTTACAGACATACATGGAAACATAAAAAACTTGAATGTTCTCAAATCATCTTTGTGCGAAAGAATAAAAAGAATATTTGCGAACACTAAAAACCCGCCAAATTAACAAACAAACTAATTCTATTGGTTCAAAAAAAACGCTGATTAAGCGAAATAAAGTTTTAGTGCATTCTGTTAAAATGTTTTAGAAATTGTATTATTCACGATTTGTTACGTTTTGAGATTTCTAGCATTGTTTTAAGAATATATATTATTTGTTTACGAAAATAAATGTTTTAAATATATATTAATTAAATTGTCAAAATTTTAAAAGTTAATTATAAATCATAGATTTTATTTGTATATTATTATTTTTTATCTTACTAAGAAGAATCGCTTCAAATATGTTAAACTTTTCAAACTACGCGAAACATAAAATAGGTATTAAAAAAATTAACTTTTTTATTTATAAAATAATCTAGCTTAAGTAAAACTAAAACTTGCAAACTTAGTTAAATAAAGAATATTTGTTTCCCTTTTAAACAATCGTAAGTTGTTACAAAAAACATCGCTTAATTTTATAAAAAAAATTATAAAAAAGCGATGTTTCGAAAATATTTGTTTTAAATGTAATTTATTTAGCTTAAAGTTTTTTTGCGTTTAAAGATATTTTATTTGCCTACTTTTTTTTTTTTTGTAATTGTCTCTCATCGGTCCAATTATTCTTTGTCGTTTTTTTTTTTTTTTGCTTTTTAAAATGTTCTCCAAACGACTGAAAAATCTGGCCAGCTTTTCGCAACTAAATATTATTTACGTGGTCAGCAATCAAGAGCGATCGCTCCCGCTTCCCGACCAAGCCTGATATATTCATATATATAATATATATATATATATATATATATATATATATATATGTGCGTGTGTGTGTATGTGCGTGTGTGCGTCCGTGCGTGTGTGTGTGTGTGCTCTAAAATGACATGTGGGACACAACTGAACATTGCTAAAAATCAAAAAAAATATCTCTGACCTTTTTTTGTTGTGATGGTGATGTCTTAATGTAACCAGGATCAAACAACCAACATTTATAAAAACAGTAAGTCAAGCCTAATGAATTTAACCAAAATGCAATGTGGACATTAATAATGTTGACCACTAAGAATTGAATTAAGGAGATGTTTTAAAAATTTTTTTGTATTATTTAGTAATACATTCTTATCAAGTTACTTAATATATTAAAAAAAAATCAATACACCAACCTTCTTTTAAAACACATTTGTTTTTAAAGTCATCCTTCTTTCAAAAAAATTTAAAATAAAAATAGAAATACTAAAGTTTTTAAAAAAAGTTTATACTAAAAGTAAGAATTTTTTTTTCTAAAACTACATTTATAACTTTTTTTAAATTTTTCTTTAACAAATTGTCAAATTTTATTATTATTATTTTTAATTATTTTTATTTCAATATATTTTAACAAAATTTATTATGTGTAAATAGAAAAAAAATCACATTATGGAAATTGGTCCAAACCAATTAAGTTTAGAACCATGGACAATAAACATATAAAAAAAGGAGTTAGACATATTTATCGTATATAGAGTTACTCGGTGTAGTTAAGGCACTTTTAAAATATTATAAAGTCTGTATGATATTTTGTTGACTACGACATATTTCCATTAAATGGTCTGGTCTGTGAATTATGAAAAGACGAAAAAAATTAAAATAATAATTTTTGCCATATCATAAAATAAAAATGTTTGTAGCAAAAAAACCCAGACTGTGGAATATATATATATATATTTTTAAATCATCTTAAAATCACAATCACTCGTCCAAATTTAAATAAGATTTTATATTAATACGTTTTTTAGGTGAAATGAACATTATAGTTTAACAATATGATCTGTTTTGATCGTTTAATGGCAATTTTTTATAATTATAAGCTCTTTCTTGGTCAGAATTCCAGTATTTTTTGTGAAAATTGATAGAAATATTGTGTTTTGACAACTATATATAGTTAATATAAGTCAGAACCGATTAGAACTAGAATCAGTAGTAAATTAAGAAACTTTTTTAAAAGATATTAACTAAATTCATATTAATGCCGATGAGCAGAATTGATCTAAAGACTCCAAAATAGTGTTCTTTAGATACATTATTACGGGTAGTAAAAAGGTTTTGAAAATTATATATAAAAAAGAAAAGTTTTGTTAAATATTATAAAAACCTTAGTAAAAAAAATTATAACATATAAAGATTTTGTTTGGGCATAATATGCTGACAAAACTATGCAAATTCCAAATAAAAGTATTCAAATATTTTGTAAATCGCCTTAACTACACCGAGAAGGAGGTTGTCATACTATTTGATTTTTTATTAAAATACTGTTTTTTACAAAAACTTGGTATATGGAAAACATGTGTACAAATATTTTATAAAATAACTTAAAACTATGTTTGAAGAAAAAAAATTTCATAGTTTTTTACCCTAACTACAGATAATACGTTGTGCCCAAGCATATTTTTTATGCAAACATTTGTTGACCACTTTCTTTGTGATTTGAAAACAATAAAGTTGCTAATTTATCAAAATTGACAAACCAATCAAACCAATCAAAGTTATCAAACCAATCAAACCAATCAAAATTATCAAACCAATCAAACCAATCAAAATAACTTTTACATAATGTCTTTCAATAAAACATCATTTTACAAAAAAAATTTGCAAATTTTAAAATTTACTATTGAATCGTGGCAATATCATCAAGAACAAGAAAAAAGACTCTGAAGCTTTCTGAATATATAGATTCTGGAAAAGATATTCTTGTATCAGAGTTACCAACGCTAAGAGATCTTAGATATGGTCTGTTTTTACAAGAAATATTAAAAAAAAATTATCCAATAAAATACTTGGTAAATATTTATTCAAAGTTGATTGATAATGGATCCACGTCAATACTTTATTTATGTATCTATAACAAATACAGAACATTAAAGGATAAAGATAGATTTGTGGCTAAATTTGACAAATTGTTTGATATACTGATTGTTGATTTCTAAATTATCAAGAGAACGACTGTTTGTCAGACACAACAGGTAGCCAATAGCAACAGGTAATCGGATCTCACTTCTGTAACAAATTGGGGCTCGCAGTGGCTTGTGAATTTTAACTTGAACAAAACTCAGTTATTTACTGCAAACAATTATAGCAATACTATTGACATTCCTATAATAATGAATAGCAACCCTCTCACTTAGTCCTCTTCTTTAAGTCTTCAAATCTTCTGTCAACCGTTCCTTGTTCTTTAACACTATTCTTTGTTTTCTAGTAACTATCAACCTAATAATAGTTGCTCGCAGTTTGTTGGGAAAAAAACTTAAAAAAATGATTTTTTTTTTAAATTTAACTCATTTCCAATAAATGAAATTTTAACAGATTACACAAGATACAATGTCAGCAATAGTTCCAAAACTTTTTGTATCAAATTATTTTAGTGAAAATTTCATTGAAGTGTGTAAAGACAAATAACATTTTTGATAATACTGATTAAAGTATATTTTGAAAACAAACAATTTTTTACTTAAATAAGGCTAAAATTGCAATAGTCTAAAATAAAAAAAACTTTACAAAAACCAAGAAATCTATAAAATAAATAAAATAAATATTTTCAAAGATACAAGGCCAGAAAAATATAAATAGGGTGGTAAACATATACAGCTTTGTTCCAAAGTATAATCCCACTGCCAAAGGATTCCTTTTGTGATCATGAAGAGTCCTAAAGATTCATAAAAACAATAAAAATAATGTAAACATTAATTGAACATAAATACCAAAAAAACAAACATATAACATACCTTAAAGATATATTAATTAAACCAGTGAGAGCAGTAATCGCGAAAATTGTGTAGACCCAATAAGGAGAATATTCAAGTATAAGACCAATAATAAACAATGGGAGTGAAGACAAAAGAAACATTGCTTTATTTTTTGAATCCTAAAAATAACTATTTTATAGTATATCAGAGATGAACAATAAAATAAATAAAAAATTACATTTAAATGTTGCAAAAACTTAAAATAAAAAAGTTGTATGAATTGATTAAACTTTATTTAAAATTAATTATTCTTTTTATTAAAAAATAAAAAAAGTTATTTTATGTTACAAAGCACTGAGCTGTGCATTAGCTATATAATAATTTATTTATATAAAATCTAGTTAATACAGTAGGTTTTTTTTAAATTGAAAAACAAAGTTAGAAATAATTTAGTTTGATAAATAAAAATTAGCCAAAATAATAATAATAATAGACCTTATTTTTAGATAACCATGATCTTTAGATAAAATATTTGGGTTAAAGAAATCAACATTACTTAAATAATAGTTTACACTTATCAACAAAGTTTTGGAGCACGGGGATGATTACAATAATATGATCACTTCCTGCAGATAAAATGGTGGATCTAGAAAAAAAGAAACTGTCAGATTTCAATTTACCAATGAAAAAGCATGTAACAGCAAACGTTACTGACAGAGCATCTGTAATGAAATAAATGACAGCTAAGAGGTATTGGACATCAACTGTAGTAAGCCCTTGTACTTCATTTAGCATGTTCGGTTCTTTACAAAAAACCAAACTCTTCAGAGGGAAAATGTATTGAAGGTGATTCACAGTTGTAAGATTCCGATGACAATTTAAGTGATTGTGATAAGTATGATAATGTAATTACATTTGATAAATTTGGGCATAGTGATATTTATCACATTTCAATAGGTGTTACATTCAATGATGATTCACAAATCAGTATAATTTTTAAATGATTCAGAAGGTTTGAAAAGTTGTTTAAATGTTGCACAAACCACCACTTAAAATTAAAATCTTACAAATGTTTGTTTCATAATGACCTTAATCTGATATTGAATTCAAAAACAAGTTGGGATAGATTTCTTTGCAATGCTAGAAAGATTCTTTGAAGGAAAAAGATGTGTTAAAAGCAATGATTGATTTAAAAGAAACAATATTTCTATTATTAGCTATTTTAACAAAATTGCTAAAAATATTACATATAGTTTTAATAGAAGAACTTTTAATTAATTTGTTGCTAGTGAAACGTGTATTAATTTTGTGAATTTAAAAAACAAAAACTTCTTAGCGAATTTCATTGTTAGTCGTTCTTAGCTTTTAGTTAATTCACTCCACTAAAGTACCAATTTTTATTTTATATTGAAAACATTTTATTAAATATTGTAAAAAGCTTTTTAATCTAAGTTCATGTAATCTAAAATATGGATTGTATATTATGCTGAAGTAAAATACTCTTACTGGATTAGTAATGATATTTCTAACAAAACTAGACTTCCCAACACCACGATGATGCTGTTCATCCTTTAACTTGTAATTTATCCATGTATTTCCACGCTCCATTGCCAATGTTAATGGTGTTTGACCTTGCAAATTTTTGCAATCAATATTTGCACCTGCTTGTAGCAAAGGAACAATAACATTTGTATTGCTTGATAATATAGCCCAATGCAAAGCTAAAGAAAACAACTCAAGTTATTTGCAATACTTGCGCTTAATAAAATACAGTACAATCTTTCTCATTCGAATTTTACGAGGAAAAATAAAAGTTTGAATTAGAAAGATTTTTGAATTATAGAATGTTGACTTTTTTAAATATTCTAGTTAAAGTAACAAATCGAAATAAAACATACAAACAAATAGCAGTTCTTAGGCTGAAATACAAAATATATATTTGTATTTTAAACTTTTACAATTTCAAAAAGTCCATATTTGTAGATTTTCTTTTATGAACTTGTTAAGAATGATTCAACATTTTTTTTTAATGAATAGCCCAAATCAATTACACAATTTATGTCTTTTATCTTTTATCTAATAGAGCCTTTGTTGAATCATCTCTAAAGCTAGAACAAAGTAATTTTCGAGTATAGAAACATACATTGCTTTGTTCAAACATGGTTTTGAAGCAATGTCAGAAACAAAAATCAGAAGAAAAAAAATGTAGTAACAAACATCACCTTTTTAAATTTCAATTTTCAAGACAAACGATGATTTAAATTGTGCTTTTATAAAACCCTATTTATTTGGTATTTCCCAATTTATATGCCATATTTGAAAAGTATTTTATATTAAAAACCTGTCTCTTGACATTCAAAGTTAAAAACTAACCAAAGAGCCATATACAAGTTTTGCAATAAACAAAATTCTATCTTTTTTCACCCATAATTATTGTAATTTTGTCACTTTGAAAACTTTAAGTAGATAAAATGAGCAATTCAAATTTTACAAAATAAATTTGATATAAATTTATTCATAGACACATAATTATTTGGTTGAGATAATTTTTTTATAAAATATATTTTTTATACCTTGATAAAGACTAGTGATTGTTAAAAACAAGTTTTGCTAAAAAAATCTAAAAATCAAATTTAAAATTTCATTTTACTTGTGTTACAAATATTTTTAGACCTATAGAATAAAAGTATACAAACAATTATGATTTGCTAATTGTGGAAGAAAAAAAGCTTAGATATCTTTAAAAAAAAAATTCTACAATAACATCATATACTGAAACTCTTACAAACTAAACAAATGAAATAAATTATTAAGTCTGTAGATTGCAGAGTATATTAAAAAGACTCTAAGATTTAAAATAAAATGGAGAAGGCGAAACCACAAATTAGTTTTTGATATATTTTTTTTTAATTATTATTCACCTCCCCAAGGCCCGAGGGAGCCACTACAGTCGAGGAAGCTACTTATTTTTTTTTAAATTTTTTTTTTTTTTTTTGTTTTAAATCGTGGTACAACCAACTCTCAACTCTTTAACTCTGTAACACGAACCTTGACAAACAAGGCCGCTGCGCGGAGAAATTATATTGAACGCGGTACTTCCAGGGACATGGTGGGAGTCGAACTCCAAACCTCTCGCTTACAAAGCAAGCGCTCTTACCACTACACCACTACCGCATATATATTTATTATTTGGTTTCAAAAAAATTTGTATGCAAATATATCATAAATATATAATTTGCAGATAATAATTAAAAGGTTTTACTTATAAGTGATTGAGGTCACAGGGTATAAGAAATAAGAAATGTATAATATCTAATATCTAGTTGATAGAGAGATTAGTTCAAATGGAAATTTGTTTATTATTATTTTTTAGTTATTAAAACAAAAACCATAAGAAAGCACAGCTTTATGGAGCCAGTAAGTCTAATGATAGCCAAATTATAAAGAGATATGAACTTACTGGATCCACAAAGATTCAATAACAATCAAAAAGACCACACAAAACAACTTCACAAAAAAAACAAGACATACAAAACAACATATCTCTAGGATAAAAAGCTTGTGATACTAAGTAATGAAAATTTTTTATTTAAATAAACAAATGAAACGTTTTTATGGATTGAATTGTAGTATTTCTACTATAAAACTTGTGTTTACACCAGGCAAAAAAAGGTCCAGTCAAAAAACAATTTATTTTCTTGAAAAACTAAAATGCTAAAGAAAAATTAGTACCACATCATCTAAAATGGAGTAGTTAACATTGATCAAAGATTCTTTTTAGTGATAAAAAAAGTTTAAGCAGTTCAGATCAGATAGAATCAAATTTCTTTGATGTCCAGTAGGTACAAAATATAAAATCACAACTGCTTACCATAAAACATATAAGAGGTAATTAATAGTTTTGTGATTTTTTAGTTAGAGCAGTATTTTTCCGCTTCATAGAATGGAACTATTAATAGAAAACTATGCAAAAATATGAGCAAAAGTTTGTGAGAGGAGATTTTAAAAACTATTTTACAAAAAGTTAAAAAGTCATAACCCTAATATATATATATATATATATATATATATATATATATATATATATATATATATATATATATATATATATATATATATATATATATATATATATATATATATATATATATATATATATATATATATATATATATATATATATATATATATATGTATATATATATATATATATATATATATATATATATATATATATATATATATATATATATATATATATTAGGGTTATGACTTTTTAACTTTTTGTAAAATAGTTTTTAAAATCTCCTCTCACAAACTTTTGTTTTTAATATATATATATATATATATATATATATATATATATATATATATATATATATATATATATATATATATATATATATATATATATATATATATATATATATATATATATATATATATATATATTAAAAACAATTATTATTGCAAAAAATACATTAAAAAAAAGTATTATTTAATACTAAGGTAATTCATACAATACTCAGATAACTAAATCTTGGCTTCAATTGCTCACAACTAACCACTAATTAATTTGCAATAACACAAGTAACCACTAATTAAGTTGCAAGTTAATAAAAAACTTAATACAAAAACTAAAAAAAACTTAATAGTTAAAAGTTAATAAAAAGGGAGGTTAAAAATAAAAAAACATGAAGATAAGAGAGAGAATTTCAAAACAGTTTCGAATTTGACAAATACTTAACTAAACTGTTAATGTTGTTATTTCATATTATATCAAGCAACTTACTCTTCGACAATACTTGATCATCTTGTTCTACTGCTGAATAACAGAAAGGTTTTATTGTGCATTAGATGGAAGCTGTGATGCAAGAATTATCAATCTGGACATACTAAAGGCTTTTGAAAGTCTGACATGCCTTATTCATAGGCTCTCTTGATATGGTGTATATGGGGAAGATTTCAAAATCATTTCTTTCTAACCACTATGTTAAAGTTGTCATTGATGAAAAACATAAGAATCTATTTTTAGTTCTTTCTTGTTTCTATATTAAAAATCCTCTTGATAATTTAGCTTTTAAGATAGCTTCATTTGCTGATGACAAACTCCTGACTTTATATAAAGTCATCATTTTTTGATCTCTACACAGGTAGCCAACCATGGCTGAACCTTGAATGCATTCTTTCTTGTTGTGACAGGTTTTAATAAAATAAGCGCTCTCTCCTTTTTTCGTCTAAACATCATCGTTACAAAAACACTTTGAGGATTTAAACATAATATTATCATTAATTAATTTTGATTTTTCAATTATTGGTATAACTGAAACAAGGTTAAAAAAAGGAACATTCTCAATTCATCCGATTCTCATTGATAATTACAACATTGAGCAGACACCATTGAAATCCTCTTGTGGCAGTACATTATTATATTTATCAAAAAAACTAATAAACAAACGAAGAGATAATTTAATGATTTATACACCTAATTGTTTAGAATCCACATTTGTTGGAGGTATTTTTTCTAAAAAGTCTAATATTATTGTTGGTTGCATTTATAGACATCCTTGCATGAATATTAATATTTTTAATAATATCATGTCTGTCTTCAAAAAATATCTGTTGAAAATAAATCTGTTTTTTTACTTAGTGATTATAATATTGATCTGATGCAATCAAATAATGACATTGCGACATCTGATTTTTTTAACTTATTTTCTTTTTATAATATTTGCCCTTTTATTACTTTGCCGACTAGAATTACTGATCACTCTGCTACAATTATTGATAATATTTTCTCTAGTTTAATAGCTAATGAAATTGTTTCAGGAAATTTGACAACTTCTGTTTTTGATCACTTACCTCAATTTTGTATTTGTTCCAATTTTAATAAATTATTTATATCATGCAGACACAACTTATATAGCAGGAGTTTTAAAAAATTTAATAAAGAAAACTTTAAATCTGATTTATCAAAAATTGACTGGGACAATATTACAAAGTCCAATGATTCTAACAAATGTTTCCAAACGTTTATTACTGAAACAACATTTTTTTAAAAAGGGGCGTAACGATTTTAGATCGTTACGCCCCACTTAAAAAAATAAGTATAAAAAACTTTAAACATCGATTCAAACCATGGATTACAAAAGAAATTATAAAATCTATTCAAGTGCGCAATCTTTTCCAAAAAAATATTAAGATCTAAAGATCTTATTAATAAAAAAAAATTTGAAAGTATTTTTAAAATATATAAATATATAATAGTTACATTAATTCAACTTGTTAAAATAAACCATTTTTAAAAATTTTTCTCAGAAAATGCAAAAAAATCTTCGCGAACTTTGGAAAGGTATTAACACTCTAATTAATGTAAAAAATTTGAATAAATTATCTCCCGACTGTTTGCAAGAAAATTATACATATATAACTGACCCGACTTTTATCTCTGAATCATTTAACACTTTTTTTACAAATATTGCTCATAAACTCAAATCCAATATTCATTCATCTTACATTAACTATCAAAAATTTCTTAAACATCCAAAATACATTGTCAATTATCTCCAACAAATATTTCTCAAATTTCATCTCTTATATCTAAATTGAATCCAAATATATCATTAGGTCCAAACAGCATTCCTACAAATATTCTTATAGATTTTAAGTATGATTTTTCAAATATTCTTTCTAAACTATTTAATACCTTATTTATAAATGGAAAATTTCCTGATATTTTGAAATTATCTTGCGTTATTCTAATATTTAAAAATGGCTCTAAACTTTCAAGCACTAACTACAGACCTATTTCTCTTTTATCTAACATTAGTAAGCATTATTTCTCTTTTATCTAACATTAGTACACTCTAGAATACATAAGTTTCTTGAGAAACTTATGTATTCTAGAGTGTACTCTTTTCTAAACTCATTTAATTGTTTGAATGATTTTCAATTTGGTTTTCGATCAACACATTCTACTTGCCATGCATTAATAAGTATAATAGAAAAAATCAGGAAAGCTCTTGATACTGGTCATTTCGTTTGTGTTTTTATTGATTTACAAAAACCTTTCGATACCGTTGACCATAGTATTTTGATTTCTAAATTAAAACATGGAATTCGTGGTATTGTAAATGACTGGTTTCGATCTTATCTTTCAGATCAAAAACAATTTGTAAGTATTAATGGTTTCAATTCTAGTTATAAATCAGTTTTGTGTGATGTTCCTCAAGGTTCTGTTCTAGGTCCTCTTTTGTTTTTAATCTACGTTAACGACTTAATCAACTCTGTTCACTTTTCTTCAGTCCATCTGTTTGCTGATAATACAAATCTCTTGCACATCAACAAATCGTATCATTCTTTATGTAAAAATGTTAATTCGGATCTAAAAGATATAGTTCACTGGTTAAATGCAAACCTAATATGTCTTAACACTGAAAAAACTGAACTAATTTTTTTTTTTATCTCCAAGAAAAACAATTTCTTTAAAAATGTTGAAATCAAAACCAAAATTAATAAACAGCTATATCTATCAAGATTAAATATATTGGTGTATTAAGTGATTGCAATCTTTCATAGAACTTTCATATTGATGAACTAAGCAAGAATCTCAAGCTAACGGTATGCTTTTAATAATTCGTCATTATGTCAATAAAGTTACACTTAAGAGTATTTACTATACATTATTCTCATCTCATCTTAGCTATTGTTGTCAAATTTGGGGTCAAGTCGGAAACTATCGCATTAACAAGTTGCTATCGTCTCAGCATCAATCCATCAGATTAATAAACTTCCAACCAATTAAATCAGATACATCGAAGTTCATTCCAACATTTCCAGGGCTAGTAAAGTATGCTAATCTTCTTTTTGTTTTTGACTCCTTAAATAAAAACATACCATCTATCACAAACTTGTTCACAGAAAGTAGACTATTACACTCCTATTCGACTAGAAATATACACAATGGAAAACTAAATGCACCATCTTTTAAAACCCAGAAGTATGGTAAACATTCAATTGTTTATCAGTGCGTTCTGTGAATGGAACAGGAGCCTTGCATGCATTTTGAATGAATTCAAAAAAATATATCCTAAAGTACCTTTACTCCATTTTAAACAATATCAATTTAAAAAAATTCTAAAAAACTTTTTATTCTAACTTTTTGGCATTATTATCCTTATGATTTAAATATTATTTTAATTTTCTTTTTGTAATTACTACAATTATCATCAGCACTTTTTTTTTATTTTTTTTTTTATTTTCTTTATTAGTAAAACCTGCAAATTGATTTCTACATGTTTGTTTTGATGTATATTTTATGTGCTTTGGTTTGTGTGTTTATGGTCCATGTGTTTCAGTGTGTGTCTTTGCTTATTATTACTTATATTATATTAAAATTAGTGTCACTCCTTTGATCAGATTTCTGTATAAGCGACACCATCCTAATAAATAATTAACTTATTATTATATTAATATTAGCTATTATTACTATTTTTTTATTTTAATTATTGTAAACATACTTATTATTACTATTACTATAATTTGTATAATTATTATTATTATCTTATATTATTATTATATATTTTTGCTATTATTACTATTATCATTATTATCATTATTATCAAAACTATTGTAAAATGATTTACGGAAATTAAATAGCTTGTTGTTGTTGTTGTTGTTGGGACTCTACTACCTTGAAGTTGCAAAATCCACTATAGTCAAGGAAAATACTTTTTTTTTTTCTTTCTTAAATGTTATGAAAGCCCCTTTCAACTCTTTAAACTAAGCGAACTTTATTTCAACCAATATTTATTTAACTTATTTACTCTATTATGATACCTGTATTCTTACAAATATTCATTGGTATATATCGTTCATATTGGTATATATCAATCATCGAAATAAAGATTTCATTGGTAAACTAAATCAGATACCTGTATTATTATGTTTAGAATCTGCAAAGTTAACAGAAGCACCAAAATTCAAAATTAGCCGAGTTGGATCTACACTATAATTTAGAAATTAAATTTTAGTTTTTATTCAAAATGATAAAAACCAACCAACAAATTACAAAGATAATTTACACTAAACACAAAAGTTTAAAACCTGAAACTGCGGTATGCAGACCACATTAGTGGGGTCATTCCATTTTTGTCAAGTAAATCAACATCCTAAAGATTATAAAAGTTAAAACTAGTATGGAAATGCAGTGTCTTATAAAAGTGAGATTTATTGAATTCAATTCAGATGCAATCATTAGTTTGTTGAGTGTAATTGCATAACATAAAATAATAAGATACTAACTTATATAGTTTACATTTTTAGTTGTTTTCTTTTTAATCATTTCTACGTAAAAATTACAAACAATTATATGTTGCAAATTACTTACAAGACCTTTGGCAATAAGATATGCAATTAAAAACAATTATATGTTATAAAGCTAATTACTTACAACACCCTTTGCAATGAGATATGCAACAATAGACGAATGTGCAAGTTGTGCTGCGACATGTAAACAGCTACAACCTATGTAAAAAACACAGTCTTTATTTTATGACAAATGATTAAAAATAATAATACAAAAGTAATGCAAATACCTTCAGAATCTTCTATCAATGGATCTGCTCCATTATTTATCAATAGAATTGTCATATCAAGTAAGCCTTGCCTTAATTTAAAAATCAAAAGACAACTTTTTTGTAATGTCAGTATTAAAATAGATAAAGAACCTACACAAACACAAAGGTCTCATTTTTTACAAATAATAGTCTTTATTTTATAATTTTTAATTTTTTTTTTTACCATCTACAATTAATTTTTTTTTAAATATACAAATGCACTAAAGTCGAAGAATATTTAAGTTAAAGTTACTAAGAGTAAATGAAAAAATAGATAATACAATACATTCAAAGAGTATAATAGAAATTAATATAAAACTTTAAAAAATGCAAGAAATGAAGCACAGAAAAAGCACAGATTTTTACAAGAAAAAAACAGGCAAATAGCTTTGAGCAAGTAAGAACAATAACTATAGGTAAATGAAAGTCACACAAAAAGAAAATGCAGAACAAAAGTTTCAATAAAATATTTTTTAATATATTAGAGTTCATATTTATTAATTATTTTATTGAAAATAGTCATATTAACATTGATTAATTTTTATTATCATATCAAATAAATAATAAAAATTAAAAAAATAATTGAAATAGAAAATAGTAAAAAACTTTGAACAAAAACACTTTATTAATAAATTTAAATTAGAAATTAAATTTATTATTTTTCTTATTATTTTTCTTTATTAAATTTAAATTTTAATTAAATTATTTATTATTTTTATATAAATTTATTATTTTTCTTTATTAAATTTGTATCAAAAGTTGAAATCTTTTGTTTTTCTTCATTCCATTCAAAAATTTTATAAACTTTGTTGCATCTCTATCCTCTACATCTATCTATATCTGAAATACATTTGAGAGAAATCACAAATTTTTACCCATTGAAAGAGAAACATCAATGCATAATTGTTTTTTTTTTTGAATTATTTAAAAAATTTGTGATTTTTAATTCTATATTTTTTTAACATTTTATTTTCATTTTTAAATTTAAAAATATTTAGATTTTATTAGAACTTTATAGCTTTAAAGTTCAAAAGTTACTAAAATTAAAGTTACTATTAAACATTTAATGTAGTTTAAGCTAATTTTAAGATTTTAACACACAGGCATATATTTTTAAAATGTATATACATATATATACCGGATTGCCCAGTGAAGTGCTGTTGCATTTAAATTGCCACCAAGCTTATCAATTTGTGCTCCTTTAGACAAGTAATATCTTGAAAATATATAAAAAATGTAAATTAAACACTTAAAAAAAAAAAAAAAAAGATTTGATCTCAAACAAATTGTTTTTGAAAAAAAATTCAAGAAATATTTTTAATAATAAAAAAAAACTTTAAAAAAGTATACATACTGAACTATTTCTAATCGGTTGTTTATAGCAGCCCAATGAAGCATATAAACATTTTCTGAATCTGGTTGGTTAATATCTACTCCTTCAATTTCTACTAACTCTCTAACGCGGCTGAAGTTACCAAATTGTGAAGCCTAAATATGTTAAATATTATATAATTTTATAAATAGCAAAAAAACTAAAAATAAAAACAGGTTTTCAGTAAAAACTAATTTACCTTCTTGATGTCAAATTTATCATAATCTGGAACTTGATACAAAGATGAGATATTATGACCACCATGGTTATGTGGAACAAATGTATTTGTTGGATACAGCTTGTGTTCTTTATTTGGATTTACAATATTTAAGTACGTTTCTTCTGTAGCTTCTCTGTGATTGTGGTTACTCTACATGTATGTTGATATATATATATATATATATATATATATATATATATATATATATATATATATATATATATATATATATATATATATATATATATATATATGTATATATATACATATATATGTATATATATATATATATATATATATATATATATATATATATATATATATATATATATATATATATATATATATATATATATATATATATATATAGAAAAATGAGGTCGAAAATAATTTGCCGACCTCAATCTTTTTTAGGTCGGCAAAAATTATTTAACCCTTTCGTGACGTGTGACGCGTATGGCGGTTCATAAAATTTGTATCTAAATGAGGAGTGACCCGCATAACGATGCATAAACAATTTTAAATATTTCAAAACATCTATAGCAATCGGGAAAAACTTTAAAATTATTTTTAAATTGTGAATAATTTCTTTAGTTAATGCTTCAAACTGTTTCTGCATTTATAGATTGCTCAAAAATCAATTTTATAAAATGACCAAGAACAGATTATATTATATTGATATAAATGAAATCATTTATATTTTTTTCAATGATAGTGGTAGATATTTTTTTTGTTTGATCAGCACTATAAAGGCTTCATTAATTTAATATCAAAAATGATATGTTTATCTATTTCTTTTTTATTTGTTTTAGTTTACATAAAGAAACTATATATTTTTGTAAATTTTAACATTATATATTTTGATCACATAACTAAGATAAACAAAAATTTTTTAAAGTTTCTGGATATTCTAAAAGTCAATTCTTAGACAAAAAAACAAGTTCTTGTTTTTAAAATTCTGACTAGTAGTTTTTATTTTATACTCTTCATATATACATACATATATATATATATATATATATATATATATATATATATATATATATATATATATATATATATATATATATATACATACATACATACATACATATATACATATATACATATATACATGTATATGTATATATATATATATGTATATATGTATGTATGTATATATATATATATATATATATACATATATATGTATGTATATATATATACATATATATATATATATACATATATATATATATATATATATATATATATATATATATATATATATATATATATATATACATATGTATATATGTATGTATATATATATATATATGTATATATATATGTATATATATATATATATATATATATATATATATATATATATATATATATATATATATATATATATATATATATATATATATATATATATATATATATATATATATATATATACAGTCAGCGAAATTCAAAGGATTTCAGGTCGGCATAAGTGTGCCAACCATAACGGACGTCAGGTCGGCAAAAAAAAAAAGAAGGATATTTTGCTTTCTGTTACGATAGGGGTAATGAATAATTGATTATAAAAGGATTACTTTATAATAGCATAGCTTCAGACAATAATATTTTAAAGAATGTAGCAATTACATTTTGTGTAGTAAATTAAGTATATAGCAAATTTATGAATAAGTGATTTTTTAGTTTTGAAGTTATTTTTTATTATAAAAAAAATGGTCATAGTTTATTTATTACATTTTGATTGGTTTTTTAGATTCCTCATAGAAAGAATGTAGTTTAGAAATACAAATTTAGTTTATGTGCTGTAGGCGAAGATTTTGTTTAAAACAGCAAATTGTTTAACAAAATGAGTAGACAGTAAACATCCAGTTGTTTAACCTTTACAAGAAATTAGCATTTATTTCTCCATTAGTAGGGGTGGTGATTTTCAATATTTTATTGTAGTATAGTATGACCTTGTAACTATATGTAAATTGATGGAGGGAAAACAAAAGTTAAAAATACTAAAAATAGTTTTTTTTCTTATATAAAAACATTGTTTTGAGTTAGCTTACTGTATTACTGTTGTGTCTGTTGCAGTTTAATGGAAGCCTAAACTTTTATCAAATTAAAAAAAAAGTTTTGTAACTAATGTTTCTTCTCCGCATGTTTCTAACATAACTATAACAAGGCTAAACTTTCCTAATATACTTTCTGATCTTAAATAATTCTAAAAAAACCGTAAACATGTAAATTATTCAATTAGTTACATGGTTTTAAGTGAAAAAATAAATTAAAATTAGATTTTATATCTTAATAAAATAATAATTAAACTTAAAAAGCGTGAGAACAACAGGCATTTAAAAAGTAATATTAACTTTGCTATGCTTGAAAAAATTTGAGAAAAAAAGAAAAAATGAATTAAAAAAAAAGAATATTTGTTTTAATAAATTGTATGCCGACGCAAAAGCCGACCAATCTTTGCTTTAGGATGGCATACAATTGCTGACCTGAATATTCTAGTGTCGGCATGCAAATTGAAATACATGTATATATATATATATATATATATATATATATATATATATATATATATACTCTTGCATGGTAGTTAAAAAGAGTTTCACATAAACTGTAGTTTTAAAGAGCGCGTTAATAAACCAGACCAGAAAAAGTTTAAAAAGTTAAATTTTTTTTTTTAAATGATAGACTGCCTGCCCAAACCAAACCCTCAGTCGATGTAGCAGCACTCCGTTGCGAGTCAGGCTATTTGTCAGTCAATGTAGCAGCACTCCGTTGCGAGTCAGGCTATAAGATAGTCGATGTAGCAACATTTACGCATGTTTTAAAAATGTTTTTTAATAAAACAAAAACAAAAACAACACTAATAAAAAAAAACTTTCTAGTCGTTATAATTGCGGTTTATAAAAAAAATTTTAAAAAACAATAAAATTTAATGTACTTCCTCATTAATTTAATTGCTTTGACATTTCGACGACAATCAAATACAGCTTAAGAGACGAGGTAATTAAAATTGTAGTCGTAAGAGACTTTTTTTACATTAAAACGCTCTTTTGACTACACTAAAAGGATTATAGTGTAGTCAAAAGAGCGACCCTTCCTTCTTTCTTTTCATAAAAGAAAATTCAAACAAAAAATTATATCAAAGATTTTTTTTAACTTTATACAAAACAGCATTGCGACTTTATCTCTTCCCTAACCTCATCTATTTACCTAAAATGATCCCATGATGTCTGTGTTTTATCACTTTATATTAAGTTTGTATAAACCATACAAAAAACTGTGACAACACGTTATTAAAAATGCGCTTTTTTAAATTCAAAGAAAAATAAAATAAATTTTTCAAAAATAAAATTAAATAATATCAAATGTCTTACTTTGTCCACTTATAAAATATTTAGCTTCAATAAGTCTAAATTTTTAACAAAAAAGAGGCAACAGAGATATTTATGCTTGTTTCAGTTTATCAGGCACTTCGATCTTTGATCTAAAAATATGGGATGTAACACATGTAAAATTATATATTTCCAATTTTCCATATAACTAAATTTTAACTAGCTCTTTAAGTGAACATGTCATAAATGAATAAACAACTAAGAAGTTTGGCTTTGAAATTCTGCAAATTTCAGAAATTTTTTTTGTATCATGTTTATATATAATATTGGATTAGTTATAGTTTATTTGTGAGATCGTCTAGTGTTACTGCCAGAACTTTTGATTTGAAATGGCCATGTTTTTGTCACATTTTATAGAGGTGCCTATACAAAATGTGACATAGTTCTAATTGGTAATGAAACAGTAATGCTGTTAAGTTATTCAGTTTATGAAATAGTATACATGTTGGTTTCAAATATTTTGGCTTTTTTTTTTTTTTTTTTTTGGGGGGGGGGGGGGGGGAATCCAAGCAAATTACTTCACAATTGAAAGCGTGATGAGATGGAAGACATGTAGCTCTTTTCCTCTATTAAAATATTTAAGCTTTTCTCTGATGGAGCTGGAGCAATACATCCAAAACATTCTTTATTTACAATATATTGTTAGCAGCATCAAAATCAGAATATTATTGAGTCTATTATTTAGGGATACAAAAGGTACAAATTATTGTATCTTTTGTATCCTAACAAAAATTGTTGTTTTTTTTAATATTTTTCTGTGAACTTAATGTTGTTTATTATTATTATTAATATTATTATTTCCTTTATAAATAAATGCAATATCTAGGTATTTATGAGTTCTTATAAAAACCAGAAAAAGATTTCTTTAGCCATATAGACTTTGAGTGCAAAATTTGCAGCTTACGCGAGTTCCTAAGATTTCTAACAATAGTTCTGACTGAAAATAACGATCTAGGAGGATGATCAGACAATGTGACAACTTTTTTTATTAATCTGCCTTCAAGACGTTTTGCAGGTTGATTGGAGCATGGACGTTTGTTGCATAAAACAGAAGCGCGTTTTTCTATAGTTTCATAAGTTTAGTGCAAGAGATATCACAGAACGCAGGCCAAGCATAAGCCATATGCGAAAAAACTAATGCAAGATATGTTTTCCATGTTAAATCATTAGGAATACCATATGATACCAGGCGATGAATAGCTGACATTCCGGCGCAACATTTCTGATGAATGATTTTGAAGTGAGAGTCCTATTTAAGGTCATTTTGCAGTTACCCTAAGAAATTTATTAGTGGACTGAGTTTCTAACTTACTGCCAGCGACAGTTATTGGCAACCCCTTGTCACCCTCTAAGGAAAAATCGATCAATTGAGTTTTTTCATTATTGACATGCATTTTTGCACGTAGTGACCAACTTAGCAAATTATTCACTTCTTCCTGTGTGTTATTGATGTTATTATAGCCAAACATAATGTAATAGTGTGATGTCGTCAGCGTACAAGTTTAATTTACTTCATCCGACGTATTTTTCTTAAGGATAAAAGTTAGTAATGTGACTTGCGCTTTTATTATCATGGGTTTAGTTATAAATAACATGGACAGCTGTGTTTTTTACACAGTAAACACTGAACAACAGTTGTTGTTTCAAAATTGCCCTTTTTTTAAAATGACTATAGAACCTTAAAACATAGTTTTTTTATTATAAACTTTAAAATTAAAATAGCTTAGAACTAAAAAATCATAAAAATATATAAAACTTGAAATTTTCAAAAAGTGGACATCTGTGGTTTTACCCGTGTGGTCTTCATATGTGTGTATATATATATATATATATATATATATATATATATATATATATATATATATATATATATATATATATATATATATATATATATATATATATATATATATATATATATATATATATATATATATATATATATATATAAATATGTATGTATATATATATATATATATATATATATATCAGGCTTGGATACATATATATATATATATATATATATATATATATTTATATATATATATATATATATATATATATATATATATGTATGTATGTATGTATAAAAATATATACATATTTACATAATTATATATATTAGAAGAATAGTAAGTAAATATAATTATAGTAAGATAAAAATACTAATTAAGCAATTTAAAACAAGTATAAAAACAATAGTAATTTTAACTAATTTAAACATTATTAAAAACTTATGATAGCATACGTGAACACATAATATGGCTTGATATTTTATATATATGTTTGCTTGTGGGTTTATTAAGTTTTGAAAAATATTTAACATAACGAACGTTTAACGAAAAACGTAATTTTTCTTTGTTAATTTAAAAGCAATAGCAAGTATAACTTTTACATTCTACCTAGTTTTTTCAGAAACAGATTTAAAAATTTTGATCCTAAAACCCAACACCACCCTAACCGTAATAATTCACCGATAACGTCTATGTGCTTTGATGTGTCTCGAATTTATATTTATTTACGTTACATTAAGTATTTTTGAAACTTGTAAAAGTGTAACCAATTAAGATGTAACGGTAACGTAAAAAAAACTGCAACGTTAACTAATTTTTACTTGTTATCAATAAAAAAATTAAATCTCAAGACTAAAAAAAAATTCATTCGATTGAAAATCGGCTTTGAAAATTAGAAACAATTATTTCAGTCACCGATGAAAAGAAATTTTCAGTGTAGGTTTTAAAAATCATCTATAATATATATAACTATAAATCTATATAATCGTCTATAGTATATATAACTATAGTAAATTAACTATTAGTAAACTACTACAGTAAATTTCACTTTAAAGTATAAAACTAATATGAACATAATAAATCCTATTGAAATTATGATAAAACAGCTGTTAGAAAATGTGCATTTGACCACAAGCCACTCTAGAATAGAAAAGTTTTAAAACTATTTAACTCTAGCTTGGCTTGCGGTCTAATGCGCATATTCTAACAGCTGTTTTATCAATTTTTTTTTACATTAGACTACGTTTTTTTTGAAACTCTTAAAAGTGTAACCTATCAAGACTTATTTTTAAAATAATCTGTATTTGAGACATATTCTAATTGCGCCTTTTTTTACGTTATGTTACGTCTCAATTGGTTACATTTTTAAAAGTTAAAAAAAAAGCCAATTGAGACATAAAGTTGCAAATTAATGTCTAAAATATGAAACATAATTAAAATACATAACAAATATAGATTTTTTTTGAGTTACATTACGTTTTTTTGAGACTTTTAAAAGTGTAACGTATTGAGACCTAACGTTACGTAAAAAAAAATCTGTATTTGAGACATATTTTAATTACACCTTTTTTTACCTTACGTTACATCTTAATTGATTACACATTGAAGATTAAAAAAAAAAAGCCAACTGAGATGTAACGTTGCCGATTGAAACTTTATTTATTTTTCGTGACCAATTGAAAAGAAGTTATTTTACAATAAAAAATAATATATATATATATATATATATATATATATATATATATATATATATATATATATAATATATATATATATATATATATATATATATATACATATATATATATATATATTATATGGATCATTTAAGTTTCTAGCAAAACTTTTTGACTTTGTACATATATATGAAAAAAGTTTTGAAAATATCAGACCAATTTTCATCATTTTTAACAGCTAATAACTTTTGAACAAAATGAGTATATAATTATTGTATTATTTTAGGATAGCAAGAATGTTATGGATACTTTTAGAAATACAAAAAGTTTAAAAGTTAACCATTTAGCTTTTTCGATAATGGCAGACTAAAGTTTATATTTTTGTTTTAGAATTGAAATTTTTTGTGATTTTAAAGAGCTTAATCTGAAAGACTAAATTAAAAATTAATACAAGTTAAAATTTTTTCTTGTCAGTACCATCAAAGTTTAAAGCTTCTTGTACAAAAAAACTATAGCAAAAACCAGGAATTACAAAAGCTTATTGAAACTAATGTTTTGTATGAAATAAGTGAAGTTATTTTTTATAAATTGTGAAAATCAAACTTCCAATGTACTTTAGTCCCAGCAACTTTATCTAAATGAATTTATCGAAATGGTCTGTGAACAGTTAGACAATTAATGAGAGCATCATTTAATATTAAAAAGTCAAGCCAACTACTTCCAACATTAAAAAACTAACTTAAAAGAAAAGCAAGCCTCAGTTTTCACTTTTCTTCCAGAAAACTATAGATTTCTAATTAGGATGCAGTACAAAGTTTGCGCTGGAATAATGATAAGGCAACCTTGCACCCCTTTGTTGTTTATTTTCTTTAAGATAAAAATATTGATAGTCAAAGTTACTGTGTTATATCAGACCATCGGAACGTAGAGCCGAGGCTGTTCATTATTTTATCAATAGATCTATTGATAAACTTAAACATTTGAACACAAATAAAAAAAAATAGTGTCACGCATTTCGTATTTAAAAACTGTTTGTAATGTAAAACATTTTCATCACTTTGATTTACAAATTGCAAAACATTTTGTTCTTTGTTTTAATAAAATGTTATAAAGAGGAGGTTATAAATTTTTATCAATTGGGGTTATAAGAATATAAATTTTTTAATATCATTTTATAACAAATAACATTATTTAATTCAATAGAACTATTCTAGAGTTTTTAGAAATAAATATGATTTAATGGGTGGACACAGAAGCATCCATTCATTTTTAAATTTAGATTTCTCTTAAACCATAAAAAGTTTTTTATTTCAAATTTTTTTTTATATTAAATGTGTATGCAACAATTAAGGTTTCATCTTAATTTAATGGGGCTTGCAAGGAATTGAATTTTTGAGCAATTTGATGCCATCATTTCACTGATTTTTTCTACTTTCACTTTATTGGTCGCAATAACCCACTTTTTCTGGAAGTTTTTTTTTTTTTAATTTTTTGTCATTCAACCTGTCTTTCAAAGAATTTATTTAATTATTACCCAAAAATTCTTCAATTTTGTGCTCTTCTAGAAGGTTTGGAGGATTACACCTTTAGGAATAACTGGCACATTATTATCTTTATATACTCATAGTAAAATTGCAGACCAGGAAGTTGTGAAAAATTCCCCTTGCAACATGTTTTGCATTCTTCAATTATGTGCATACTTTTATCCACCATTATTTTTAATAAACTCTTTTACTTCACTAACTAAGCTTCTCCTAGGTCTATTTTGGAAATCATTGCTTTGTAAACAAAAGTTTATATAAGTTATAGATAAGAAAGTAATGCTTAATTGAAAAAAAGAAATAAATAGCTTTAATGATTTTTGAGACATCTTAATTTAAATTTGACGAAATTTTTCTTTAGATCTCAGTACATCTAGAATAGTATTCAATTGTGTCAAACTCATAACTCCTCATTTACAAAGCAAGTGTTTTACAACTAGACTATTTCCACATATTTATACTGCATAACCAAACTGACATAAGCTACAAATATTACAACTTAAACTTAACAGTCACAACAAAGATTTAAATAAGCATATGTTCATTAAGCATTGAATGATAGAAAAATTAAGCATAAAAACCCTTGTGAACAACTGAAAATCAAAAGACCAACACAATCAAAAGGGCAAAAATAGCACATAAATTAAAATATTGGTGTTAAAAAAAAAAGTAAACAAATGATTAGAAAAGCAACAATTATTTATACATAGGTTCATAGTTACAGGCTCAACAAACTTCGTATGACCAATTATTTTAAACTTTATGTAACTATATTATAATAACAATAACAATAAAAGCTTAAACTTTTTCAATGTTATTTTAATTTTTCAAATTTTCATGAACACTTACCAATATTTAGAATAACTTTAACAAAAAATGCCAATAACTTTTATTAACATGATGAATATTACAAAAGAAACATAGCCATTAACAACTATTGGGTATTTTCATGCCAAAAGTATTCAGTTTTAAAATGCTAAGTACCATATTAAATTCTAGCTTATTTTATATTATCTTATATTTCATAACAGAAAGACATAATTGCATGAAATTAGATTCAGACGTATAAATTTCAAATTTAAAGAGGATTTTATTTGTATAAAATATATTTAGGAAAATATAATTACATCACTGCAGTCCCCATTTTGACATCCATTCTTATGTATTGTATTCATTTTAGAGTAGTCAGATATCTTTTATGTAGCATCGTTAAGTCTTGGAATTGTTTATTATTGTTCCGTATATTCGATACGGGTAGCGTTAGATAGTAGTCTAATTTAACAGAAACAAGGCTATCTTTATAGGCCGTTTAAAAGGACAAGTTTATCGATAAACTGGGGCCAGTATATAACAATGTATATAACAAAAAGTTGCGTAATTAACGAGTTAAAATAATAAAAACTGGCGGACGCAAAGCCCGGCCCAGCCTAAAAACATAAAACCCGGCCAGGTTAAAGAACAAAAAATTAATTTGATTTGGATACACAAAGCAACTAGCTTCATTATTATACTAAATTTACAATTAATGAGAGTAATTGTTTCGTAACGTTTCCTTTTAAAATATATAATTATAACTATATATGTGATTAAATATAAAACATTTGTTTTTTTAAATACAAGCAGGAAAATTTAGGGAAGATTATAGCTGAATTCACCACTGCTTTGATAAAATTCTTGAGCTAAGCATTTGTTGTTGCCTTGACCACCAGAGGTTCTGAGATAAAGTAGAGTGACCAATCAATCATCGTAAGTACGTGACACTCTAAAGTATCTTGACTTGACAAGCATTTGGTAAATGTGTATTGCTCCATCTTTGTACAACAACTGGGTTGTTTATTGCAAAGCACATTGGAGCATAAAATAAAAATGTTAAAGTCACACAAATTTTTTGATTTGCTGATGGTTTAGCGTCGCTAACTTATAATCGAATTAATTATAAGTTGTTCAAACAGCCGGGAGTTTGCTTTACCAACGCTACATTTATCATTTATGATTGTATTTCATATTTGAAGCAGATATTTTTAAATTGTGCTCAACTCCTTTGGTTTCACATAGAAAAGTTGTTCAGTTTTCTGCAATGCTTCAAATAAGGAGGCTGTTCGCTGCAATTCTTAAGCGATTTTCTGATAAAACCAGAATCGTTATACTATTAAATGTCTAAAATATATAACGCTTATATTTCTTTAAAAACGTTTAGTGATGCGTAATTAGGCGACAACAAAAATTTTTAAAGATTCAAAAAATTTAGTGAAGATTTAAATTTATACAATAAATGTCTATACATACAAATAAGACTCTTATTTGTATGCATAGACATTATTTGTGCAAATTTAAACCTTCATTAAATTTTGTGAATCTTTAAAAATTTTTGTTTAATGATCTTATATATAATCTTATTAAGAGTTAATACAAAAAATAATAATAATAATAAAGAAACATTTTTTCTTTTTTTTAGTAGAGGAGAGTCGATCACCATAATACACTTTTGGTTTTTGATTTGTAACCATTTCTTTAACTTGTGCTTTTTTAGGCGATTCATGCAATTTGTAGATTAAACTTATTGCCATAAAGTTAAATTTATTAATAACCAAAATATAACAGGTTAAACTTGGGAGACTATTTAAATTAAAATCAGTAAATTGTATTAAGGTACCCCACCCGTGGGGGTACATTGGTACATGCTATGAGCATCATTAAAAAATGTGAATAAAAAGTATAGACCTTGGTGAAGAGGAGGATTTTTAATTAAAAGACAAATAACCAAACTATTAACTATAACCCAAATAATGCATCAAAAGTGGTTTAAATCATATTTTAGAAAATTATATAACAGTTGTTTTAAATTTCCTTTTTAGACGTCAATAAGAAATGGCTTTTTTTTTAATATTTTTTTTTAATTTAGTCATTAAAGAGCTTCAAGAAGTCCTTAAGGTCTTATCACAGAGTGCCACGGAAGAACATTAAACTAGGAAGTTTACGCCTCCTTCCTAACCAATGTTACTTATTTGGCTAAAGCTGGCGTCAAAAAAAGGAAAAAAAGTTAGAGTATTCTTACAAGATAACACAAGATGGTAGAGGCATTAATTTTGTAAAAATACAAATATGTTAAAATTATAATACAAGATGGCCCTAACATAGAAATAGTAAAAAAAAAAATTGTGTGATTTCATTCTATTTGCTTCCGCAAACTTTTTTTTTAATAAGTTTTCTAAGCAAACATACTTGCGTCTTAATTTATCTTTGGTAGTATCTTTTAGAACTTCCAAATATTCGAACTTCCTTTTTAATCTATATTTTGTTGAACTTTTGTAAAACAGATTATTTTCATCGGAGTCAAGTTCTTTCTCAGGAGTAACAGGTGTCACATATTTTTGTGTTTTGTTGTTGTGTTGTGTTGTGTTTTTGTTTCTGTTCATTGATTGTAGTTTTAGTTGATATTGGATGATTTGATTGGATGATTGGAGGAAGCAGTTTCTTGTTTTGATATTGGATGAAGCAGTTTCTTGTTTTGATATTGGATGAAGCAGTTTCTTGTTTTGATATTGAATGAAGCAGTTTCTTGTTTTGATATTGGATGAAGCAGTTTCTTGTTTTAAATAAGTAAAACATAGCATTTCACCAACTGAAAATAGTTAATCGTATTTCTTTGACATTGATATGACGAAATCTATTGGCGATACCCTCAAAGTGGGAGATTACTTTTCTGCTATATTTAGGTGATGAGGATGAAAGCATATTTTAGTGGTCAACTTTTGCCACTAACTGGTTTTTCCGTAACCGTGATATCAGAGATTCTTAATTGCGTTCAATCGCCACAAATTATTTGCTTAAGACATTAGTTCAACTAATTCTCATCTGATGGTATATTATATTAATAATTATTTCAATTATTTCGATATCATAGTCAGAAACGTTTAAATTTTTTTTCTGAAATTACGTGTTTTCTGCTACACTGAAGGTGGAATGCAAGAAGCGAACTTGAGTCAAGCTTGAACTTTACATTGCAACCAATAGCGACAGCGTATGGGTTTTCCCCTCAAAAAATACTCTGCCGCTATTGGTTACAAAGTAAAGTTCAAGTCGAACTTGACTCAAGTTTGCTTCTTGCATTCCACCCTAAATGCTAAATTTGGAAGATCTAAAATTTTTTCGTTCTGCCGAGTGGAATCAATCATTGTCATCTTTTAATTGTACTTTTAACTATGAAATAATTAGCCAACCATACAGTTTCACGCAACTTTTTAATTTTATTTAGAGAGAGCTTATGCTTGCGTCTGATACTTACTACAAAAATTATCTTGAAACGCCTGCCTTGCCAAAATAATCGAGTCAAAGTATTGTATCTAATTATACAGCTTTAAAAATTAGTTTTTTTTTTATAAATAAATTGTGAATATCAATCCTAATTTTAACAATAACTTTTCTTACGCTAACATACCATCTCTCTTACGCTAACCATCTCTCTTACGCTAACATACCATCTCTCTTACGCTAACCATCTCTCTTACGCTAACATACCATCTCTCTTACGCTAACCATCTCTCTTACGCTAACATACCATCTCTCTTACGCTAACATACCATCTCTCTTACGCTAACATACCATCTCTCTTACGCTAACATACCATCTCTCTTACGCTAACATACCATCTCTCTATCTCTCTAATTTCAACAATAACATACTTCTCTTACGCTAACATACCATCTCTCTATCTCTCTAATTTCAACAATAACATACTTCTCTTACGCTAACATACCATCTCTCTATCTCTCTAATTTCAACAATAACATACTTCTCTTACGCTAACATACCATCTCTCTATCTCTCTAATTTCAACAATAACATACTTCTCTTACGCTAACATACAATCTCTCTATCTCTCTAATTTCAACAATAACATACTTCTCTTACGCTAACATACCATCTCTCTATCTCTCTAATTTCAACAATAACATGCTTCTCTTACGCTAACATACCATCTCTCTATCTCTCTAATTTCAACAATAACATACTTCTCTTACGCTAACATACCATCTCTCTATCTCTTTAATTTCAACAATAACATACTTCTCTTACGCTAACATACCATCTCTCTATCTCTCTAATTTCAACAATAACATGCTTCTCTTACGCTAACATACCATCTCTCTATCTCTCTAATTTCAACAATAACATACTTCTCTTACGCTAACATACCATCTCTCTATCTCTTTAATTTCAACAATAACATACTTCTCTTACGCTAACATACCATCTCTCTATCTCTCTAAATTTGTATTTTAAATTTTTTAATTTAGTTCGAGTATAATGGGTTTTTGAAAAATTAAAAAAACTTATACAAAATTTTTAATCTAAAGTTTATGAGTTCCACTAAAAAATGTAAACTTAAAGTAAAGATCAGGAAAACATTTAAAACAACAGTTTTAGTAATAGTATTTGTATAAATATTTTGTTGTACAATTATATTGTAATCTAAATATATATATACCATCATTTCATAGAGTTCCAGTTTCTCTCTAACTGTTGGCTGGTATTTGACAAAGTTTTAAATCATGAAAATTTACTCGAGAAAAAACACGTTTTAACAGTAGACAAGCCAAAATAGCAAAATAATGTATCAATATATATATATACACACACACACACACACACACACACACACACACACACACACACACACACACACACATATATAAAATATATGTTATGAAATAACACTGGATTTAAAAGTTTTGAGAATAAAAAATATTTTCAGTTGTGCTTCCAGATCCTTGAACATTTAATGGGTCTCTAATACTAATAAAAAAAACAGTTTTTCTTGTTGGGTCCATAACCTATTTAAATTACATAATTTAATTAATTACATGTAATTTAAGAAGGCCGTGTTGGGTCTCCAAAGAAGCAAAAATTATATGAAAACTTCAAAAATAATAATTATTTTATAAAAAATAAATTAAAAAATTGTATCGAAAAAACTTTGTAAAAACGCAAATATTTTATTTTTAGTTAACCCTTTGCCCAGCTAGCACACATACGTTGTTAAAACATTAGAACAATGCAGCGCGTTTCGTTGGCCCAACATCGGCTGCTAACGTTGTTTTTATATCATTATGGTAACAAATGCGACGTCGCCATCAACTAAAAACCAATGTTGATAAAACGTTTATTTAAAGTCGGAAAATGGTTATATTTACTAAGTTGGCCCAACGTTGTATTTTAAGTTGGCTCAACGTTGTATTTACGTAGATTAAATGTTGAACTTTAATTGGCAACACGTTTTATTCAATATTATGCGGAGTTAAATTTTAATATAATTCTATTTTCTT